GGCCCCAATCTGCCATAGGCCCCCCTATATACCGCCTCCTCATGCTGCTGCCAGGTCCAGAGTCTCTCATGGGTCCCTGTACGGCCTCCCATTGCTGCTGTCTCCATCGCCACACTCTGCCATGTGCCACTTTCAGGTCTCCTCACACACTGCTGCTGGTGTGTAGAATTTTTTGACATAGGGTGCTGGCAGATTACGGGCCTCCCATAGCTGCTGCCAGGCCCCTAATCTGCCATGGGCCCCTATATACCGCCTCCTCATGCTGCTGCCAGGTCCAGAGTCTCTCATGGGTCCCTGTACGGCCTCCCATTGCTGCTGTCTCCATCGCCACACTCTGCCATGTGCCACTTTCAGGTCTCCTCACACACTGCTGGTGTGTAGAATTTTTTGACATAGGGTGCTGGCAGATTACGGGCCTCCCATAGCTGCTGCCAGGCCCCTAATCTGCCATAGGCCCCTATATACCGCCTCCTCATGCTGCATGCTGCTGCCAGGTCCAGAGTCTCTCATGGGTCCCTGTACGGCCTCCCATTGCTGCTGTCTCCATCGCCACACTCTGCCATGTGCCACTTTCAGGTCTCCTCACACACACTGCTGTGTTAGAATTTTTTTTGACATAGGGTGCTGGCAGATTACGGGCCTCCCATAGCTGCTGCCAGGCCCCTAATCTGCCATGGGCCCCTATATATACCGCCTCCTCATGCTGCTGCCAGGTCCAGAGTCTCTCATGGGTCCCTGTACGGCCTCCCATTGCTGCTGTCTCCATCGCCACACTCTGCCATGTGCCACTTTCAGGTCTCCTCACACACTGCTGGTGTGTAGAATTTTTTGACATAGGGTGCTGGCAGATTACGGGCCTCCCATAGCTGCTGCCAGGCCCCCTAATCTGCCATGGGGCCCCTATATACCGCCTCCTCATGCTGCTGCCAGGTCCAGAGTCTGTCATGGGTCCCTGTACGGCCTCCCATTGCTGCTGTCTCCATCGCCACACTCTGCCATGTGCCACTTTCAGGTCTCCTCACACACTGCTGGTGTGTAGAATTTTTTGACATAGGGTGCTGGCAGATTACGGGCCTCCCATAGCTGCTGCCAGGCCCCTAATCTGCCAGGCCCCTATATATACCGCCTCTCTCATGCTGCTGCCAGTCCCAGAGTCTCTCATGGGTCCCTGTACGGCCTCCCATTGCTGTCTCCATCGCCACACTCTGCCATGTGCCACTTTCAGGTCTCCTCACACACTGCTGGTGTGTTGAATTTTTTGACATAGGTGCTGGCAGATTACGGGCCCCCATAGCTGCTGCCAGGCCCCTAATCTGCCATAGGCCCCTATATACCGCCTCCTCATGCTGCTGCCAGGTCCAGAGTCTCATGGGTCCCTGTACGGCCTCCCATTGCTGCTGTCTCCATCGCCACACTCTGCCATGTGCCCACTTTCAGGTCTCCTCACACACTGCTGGTGTGTTAGAATTTTTTGACATAGGGTGCTGGCAGATTACGGGCCTCCCATAGCTGCTGCCAGGCCCCTAATCTGCCATAGGCCCCTATATACCCGCCCTCCTCATGCTGCTGCCAGGTCCAGAGTCTCTCATGGGTCCCTGTACGGCCTCCCATTGCTGCTGTCTCCATCGCCACACTCTGCCATGTGCCACTTTCAGGTCTCCTCACACTGCTGGTGTGTAGAATTTTTTGACATAGGGTGCTGGCAGATTACGGGCCTCCCATAGCTGCTGCCAGGCCCCCCTAATAGGCCCCTGCCATAGGCCCCTATATACCCCCCTATATACCGCCTCCTCATGCTGCTGCCAGGTCCAGAGTCTCTCATGGGTCCCTGTACGGCCTCCCATTGCTGCTGTCTCCATCGCCACACTCTGCCATGTGCCACTTTCAGGTCTCCTCACACACTGCTGGTGTGTAGAATTTTTTGACATAGGGTGCTGCTGGCAGATTACGGGCCTCCCATAGCTGCTGCTGCTGCACAGGCCCCTAATCTGCCATGGGCCCCTATATATATACTGCGCCGCCTCCTCATGCTGCTGCCAGGTCCAGAGTCTCTCATGGGTCCCTGTACGGCCTCCCATTGCTGCTGCTGTCTCCATCGCCACACTCTGCCATGTGCCACTTTCAGGTCTCCTCACACTGCTGGTGTGTAGAATTTTTTTGACATAGGGTGCTGGCAGATTACGGGCCTCCCATAGCTGCTGCCAGGCCCCTAATCTGCCATAGGCCCCTATATACCGCCTCCTCATGCTGCTGCCAGGTCCAGAGTCTCTCATGGGTCCCCCTGTACGGCCTCCCATTGCTGCTGTCTCCATCGCCACACTCTGCCATGTGCCACTTTCAGGTCTCCTCACACACTGCTGGTGTGTAGAATTTTTTGACATAGGGTGCTGGCAGATTACGGGCCTCCCATAGCTGCTGCCAGGCCCCTAATCTGCCATAGGCCCCTATATACCTCCCCTATATACCGCCTCCTCATGCTGCTGCCAGGTCCAGAGTCTCTCATGGGTCCCTGTACGGCCTCCCATGCTGCTGCTGTCTCCATCGCCACACTCTGCCATGTGCCACTTTCAGGTCTCCTCACACACTGCTGGTGTGTTAGAATTTTTTGACATAGGGTGCTGGCAGATTACGGGCCTCCCATAGCTGCTGCTGCCAGGCCCCTAATCTGCCATAGGCCCCTATATACCTCCATCCTCCTCATGCTGCTGCTGCCAGGTCCAGAGTCTCTCATGGGTCCCTGTACGGCCTCCCATTGCTGCTGTCTCCATCGCCACACTCTGCCATGTGCCACTTTCAGGTCTCCTCACACACTGCTGGTGTGTAGAATTTTTTGACATAGGGTGCTGGCAGATTACGGGCCTCCCATAGCTGCTGCCAGGCCCCTAATCTGCCATAGGCCCCCCCCTATATACCGCCTCCTCATGCTGCTGCCAGGTCCAGAGTCTCTCATGGGGTCCCTGTACGCCTCCCATGCTCCCTGCTGCTGTCTCTCCATCGCCCACACTCTGCCATGTGCCACTTTCAGGTCTCCTCACACTGCTGTGTGTGTAGAATTTTTTGACATAGGGTGCTGGCAGATTACGGGCCTCCCATAGCTGCTGCCAGGCCCCTAATCTGCCATAGGCCCCTATATACCTACCGCCTCCTCATGCTGCTGCTGCCCAGGTCCAGAGTCTCTCATGGGTCCCTGTACGGCCTCCCATTGCTGCTGTCTCCATCGCCACACTCTGCCATGTGCCACTTTCAGGTCTCCACACACTGCTGGTGTGTTGAATTTTTTTGACATAGGGTGCTGGCAGATTACGGGCCTCCCATAGCTGCTGCCAGGCCCCTAATCTGCCATAGGCCCCTATATACCGCCTCCTCATGCTGCTGCCAGGTCCAGAGTCTCTCATGGGTCCCTGTACGGCCTCCCATTGCTGCTGCTGTCTCCATCGCCACACTCACACTCTGCCATGTGCCACTTTCAGGTCTCCTCACACACTGCTGGTGTGTAGAATTTTTTGACATAGGGTGCTGGCAGATTACGGGCCTCCCATAGCTGCTGCCAGGCCCCTAATCTGCCATGGGCCCCTATATACCGCCTCCTCATGCTGCTGCCAGGTCCAGAGTCTCTCATGGGTCCCTGTACGGCCTCCCATTGCTGCTGTCTCCATCGCCACACTCTGCCATGTGCCACTTTCAGGTCTCTCACACACACTGCTGGTGTGTAGAATTTTTTGACATAGGGTGCTGGCAGATTACGGGCCTCCCATAGCTGCTGCCAGGCCCCTAATCTGCCATAGGCCCCTATATACCGCCTCCTCATGCTGCTGCCAGGTCCAGAGTCTCTCATGGGTCCCTGTACGGCCTCCCATTGCTGCTGTCTCCATCGCCACACTCTGCCATGTGCCACTTTCAGGTCTCCTCACACTGCTGGTGTGTAGAATTTTTTGACATAGGGTGCTGGCAGATTACGGGCCTCCCATAGCTGCTGCCAGGCCCCTAATCTGCCATAGGCCCCTATATACCGCCTCCTCATGCTGCTGCCAGGTCCAGAGTCTCTCATGGGTCCCTGTACGGCCTCCCATTGCTGCTGTCTCCATCGCCACACTCTGCCATGTGCCACTTTCAGGTCTCCTCACACTGCTGGTGTGTTGAATTTTTTGACATAGGGTGCTGGCAGATTACGGGCCTCCCATATAGCTGCTGCCAGGCCCCTAATCTGCCATAGGCCCCCTATATATACCGCCTCCTCATGCTGCTGCCAGGTCCAGAGTCTGTCATGGGTCCCTGTACGGCCTCCCATTGCTGCTGTCTCCATCGCCACACTCTGCCATGTGCCACTTTCAGGTCTCCTCACACTGCTGCTGGTGTGTAGAATTTTTTGACATAGGGTGCTGGCAGATTACGGGCCTCCCATAGCTGCTGCCAGGCCCCTAATCTGCCATAGGCCCCTAGGCCCCTTTATATATACCGCCTCCTCATGCTGCTGCCAGGTCCAGAGTCTCTCATGGGTCCCTGTACGGCCCTCCCATTGCTGCTGTCTCCATCGCCACACTCTGCCATGTGCCACTTTCAGGTCTCCTCACACACTGCTGGTGTGTAGAATTTTTTGACATAGGGTGCTGGCAGATTACGGGCCTCCCATAGCTGCTGCCAGCCAGGCCCCTAATCTGCCATGGGCCCCTATATATACCCCATGCCGCCTCCTCATGCTGCTGCCAGGTCCAGAGTCTCTCATGGGTCCCTGTACGGCCTCCCATTGCTGCTGTCTCCATCGCCACACTCACACTCTGCCATGTGCCACTTTCAGGTCTCCTCCTCACACTGCTGGTGTGTAGAAATTTTTTTGACATAGGGTGCTGGCAGATTACGGGCCTCCCATAGCTGCTGCCAGGCCCCTAATCTGCCATGGGCCCCTATATATACCCCCTCCTCATGCTGCTGCCAGGTCCAGAGTCTGTCATGGGTCCCTGTACGGCCTCCCATTGCTGCTGTCTCCATCGCCACACTCTGCCATGTGCCACTTTCAGGTCTCCTCACACTGCTGGTGTGTTGAATTTTTTTTTGACATAGGGTGCTGGCAGATTACGGGCCTCCCATTGCTGCTGCTGCCAGGCACGTAATCTGCCATGGGCCCCCGTACCGACTCCTCATGCTGTGACGTTGCAACAAGGTGGAATTCAACCCTACATATGTTAGACCGCCTTTACGAACAGCGAAAGGCCATCACCGATTTCCTGATGTTAAAAGCGGATAAAGGTACTCCCTGTGTAACTTAGATGTCAGCCATTGGCAGCTCATGCGTGACACCTGCGCTTGCTCAGGCCCTTTGAGGAGGCCACGCTATTCGTGAGTCGGCAGGACTATGGGATGAACGACGTCATTCCTCTGTTGCACGTCCTGGAACAAATGCTGTTAACAATGGCTGGTCAGGGTGCGGTAGACGTGGCGCACAGATCTCAACGCCACATGACCCCTGTGGGGGCAGGACAGGAAGAAGAGGAGGAGGTAGAGGAGGACATTGGTGCTCAGGAATTATTGAGTGAAATGGGTGGTTTTTTCCACTCAGCGGACAGGAGTGGAGGAGCAGGAGCATCTGGTAGAGGAGGAGGAGGAGGAGGAGACAGAGGACCCAGACGCACCGTGGCAGTATGCTGTGGAGATGGAGGCAGGGAGTCCCTCGCATTCCTTGGCACAAATGGCCCATAGCATGCTCGCTTGCTTGCGTAGCGACAGCCGAATAATAACCATCAGACAGAGGGATGACTTTTGGCTGTCCACCTTGTTGGACCCTCGCTACCGTTCAAAAATGGTGGCCTTTTTTCACACCTGCTGAGAGGGGGGCCAAAATAACGTACTATAAAAAACCACCTATGTAGTCAGTCAGCTGGTCTCTGCCTGTCTGCGCCAACGTCCATCCTCAGACACTGTGGGCCCCCTGTGCGCTCGCGTTCCGCTGCCATGGCAGCAGGGGAGGGGTGGGGTGGTAGGAGCAGTGGCAGCTCCACCAGCAGCGGCTGCCTCAGTCTGCAGTCGATGATGATGAGTAGCTTTCTTCACCAGCGCAGTGGGAAACTACTAACCAGCGCAGCAGCAGCAGCAGCAGCAGCAGCATCAGGTGGACCTGGAGCAGGACCTCAAACAACAGGCTTAGGCCTACTTGGACAGCACCCTGCCAACCGAGGTAGACAATCCCCTTGACTACTGGGCAACGAAACTTGACCTTTGCCCCCCAACTAGCTGAATTTGCCCTTGAAAGGCTGTCATGCCCGGCCAGTAGCGTGGCATCGGAGCGCGTGTTTAGTGCGGCAGGAGGTATTGCAACTCCGCGGAGGACACGACTGTCCACCCAAAGTGTGGAGAGACTGACGTTTGTGAAAATGAATCAGGCGTGGATTAGTCTGGATTTCAAACCACCAGTTCCTGACACAACTGACTAAATCCGCCATGAATCATGCCCCAAACATGTGCCACTTTCAGGTCTCCTCACACACTGCTGGTGTGTTCCATTTTTTGTCATAGGGTGCTGGCAGATTACGGGCCTCCCTCCCATAGCTGCTGCTGCCAGGCCCCTAATCTGCCATGGGCCCCTATACCGCCTCCTCATGCTGCTGCCAAGTCCAGAGTCTCTCATGGGTCCCTGTACGGCCTCCCATTGCTGCTGTCTCCATCGCCACACTCTGCCATGTGCCACTTTCAGGTCTCCTCACACTGCTGGTGTATTCCATTTTTTGTCATAGGGTGCTGGCAGATTACGGGCCTCCCATAGCTGCTGCCAGGCCCCTAATCTGCCATGGGCCCCTATACCGCCTCCTCATGCTGCTGCCAGGTCCAGAGTCTGTCATGGGTCCCTGTACGGCCTCCCATTGCTGCTGCTGTCTCCATCGCCACACTCTGCCATGTGCCACTTTCAGGTCTCCTCACACTGCTGGTGGGTTCCATTTTTTGTCATAGGGTGCTGGCAGATTACGGGCCTCCCATAGCTGCTGCCAGGCCCCTAATCTGCCATGGGCCCCCGTACCGACTCCTCATGCTGCTGCCTGCCAGGCCCGTAATCTGTCATGGGCCCCTGTTGTCGCTTGTTGGCATATTCCGCTCGTTCAGATGCTCCTTCTCCTGCTACTCCTCTTCACGGATTCCGTCAGCAGTCTTTCTTGGAATCCGTTTCCAAGAGACAACAGTTTGCGAGCACGCACCAGACGGTGCAGAAACTGAACGTCCTCCTGTCCAAGTTGCTGCTGCCTGCCAGGCTCGTAATCTGTCATGCGCCCCTGTACCGCCTCCTCATGCTGCTGCCAGGTCCAGAGTGTGTCATGGGCCCCCGAAACCGACTCCAAATGCTGCTGCCAGGCCCGTAATCTGTCATGGGCCCCTGTACCGCCGCCTCCCCATGCTGCTGCCAGGTCCAGATTGTGTCATGGGTCCCTGTACGGCCTCCCATTGCTGCTGCCAGGCCTGTAATCTGCCATGGGCCCCCGTACCGACTCCTCATGCTGCTGCCAGGCCCGTAATCTGCCATGGGCCCCTGTACCGCCTCCTCATGCTGCTGCTGCCAGTCCAGAGTGTGTCATGGGTCCCTGTACGGCCTCCCATTGCTGCTGTCTCTATCGCCACACTCTGCCATGTGCCACTTTCAGGTCTCCTCACACTGCTGGTGGTTTCCATTTTTGTCATAGGGTGCTGTATGGCCTCCCATTGCTGCTGCCTCCACCGCCACACTGTGGCTCCACACTCTGGTTTTGGCCCCGTGACTGGCCAAATGAGTGAAGTGTGCGGTGATTCTAAGATCGACGGCACTCATCTGCATGTCATACTGCCTGACAGTATTATTTCTCTTCCCCAGCAGACTCCAAGGGCATTTAAATTAAAGGTACAGTGTTCAGCACTAATATTAAGTCTCTCTGAAGCCTAGAAACACCCTTTTTTAAGTTAAATTCACAGCGAATATATTCGACTCGAATCGAAATTTTTCCACGTTTTGTACTCCTCACCTGATTGCTGCCACACATGCTTGGCACCATCTGAACCAAATACGTTTATCTTGGTCTCATCAGACCACAGGACATGGTTCCAGTAATCCATGTGTCCTTAGTCTGCTTGTCTTCAGCAAACTGTTTGCAGAAACAATTCTTTTTTTCAGATCCTCAGAGAGTTTTTTGCCATGACGTGCCAGGTTGAACTTCCAGTGACCAGTATGAGAGAGTGAGAGTGATAACACCAAATTTACCACACCTGCTCCCCATTCACACCTGAGATCTTGTAACACTAACAAGTCACATGACACCGGGGAGGGAAAATGGCTAATTGGGCCCAATTTGGACATTTTCACTTAGGGGGTGTACTCACTTTTGTTGCCAGCTTTTTTGACATTAATGGCTGTGTGTTGAGTTATTTTGAGGGGACAGCATATTTACACTGTTATACAAGCTGTACACTCAGTACTTCACATTGTAGCAAAGTGTCATTTCTTCAGTGTTGTCATATGAAATGATATAATAAAATATTTACAAAAATGTGAGGGGTGCACTCACTACTGTGAGATACTGTAAATGGACATGTGTCCATTTACACCCGCCTGCATTCAATCCATCCAATCCATCCGCTAAAAACAGACGGATGGGGATCTGTCCCCATCCATCTGGTGGATTGGAGGAGGGTGGTTAAAAGATTTTTGGGGGGTTTGTGTGGTATGGGAGGTGGGAGGGGATGGTAAAATAAGGATAGATGTGATTTTTGTGGTATTAATGTGTCTTTTTTGGGTTTTTTTTTTTCAGAATGGAACGGTGAAAGGGACAGCGGTGAAGGGAGAGCACAGGATGAATATCTGTCTAGAAAAAGGGAAAGGAATCGAGGGAGGGGGTGTGTTTTGTGGGGGGGGGGGGATATTGTGTGATAATTTTATGACCTTTTAAATAAAAGAATTAAAAAAAATCCATCTGGTGGATTGGATTACAGTCAGATGTAAACAGATAGACAGTCAGTTTGCATCTTACCACCCCATAGAGAATAGCAGGCTGTGTCCGTGCTATTTGCACAAGTGGAGCTGACCTGGACCTGTCATCCACCTGCTCAGCAGGGATCAGTGGACAGATTCCCCGCTGAGCAGGAGGATCCGTGGAGGATCTGTATCTCATACTAGTGAGAGGTAGTATAGGACTGACCTATGTGTGGCAACATGTGTACACACTTCCCAGAGCATAAAGACTATTGTGCAGGTACATGCTTTTGTCATCCCTGGGCCAGCATCTTGGACACCATGGGTGGGTGTTGTTGATCAGTCAACAGATTCTCCCAGCCACTTAAGCAAGGTGGATGGAGGAATCCTGGACGCTGTGCTATTGTATTCTGACAGTGGGAACTCCACTGCTGTCAAAAAATACTGATCAGCAATGCAGCCACTGATCGAACTGCTGTACCATGTTCTTGTATGAAAAAGTATCTTGTGCACTTTGTACCTCTGCTTTCCTAAACTGACCACACTAGGCATGAGAGAACAGTGTGGCTGGTCTCTAGATGTGCAAGGAGCTAATCCAATGATCAGACTTGCACGCCCACCTGCACAAGCATTCACTGGGAAGTTCAATGTTCAACTTTTAAAAAAAAAAGGGAAAAAAATTTATTTATAATGTTTTTTTATATCTATACACCAATGGTTTGCCTTTCATTTCTATTTGAAACTGAATGAGTTGTTTCATAAGGTGAGGGTCTACATATACTTTAAGAAGTAGATTTTGACCCTGGGTGAAGTCTTGCATAAGGAAAGTGCTGTCTCGTTTACTTTTTGGTTTAACATTGTTAGTAATTCCTTATTAGTGATGGGCCGAACATCCCCCTGTTCGGTTTGCGGTCAAACATTTGAACATACAGAATGTTCGACAGTGAACTTCGAACACCAACAATTTACTGAGCGGTATCTTACCACATCTGAGTAGGCGGTAAGATACTGCTCAGTTACTAAAATATAGAATGAGTTATACTATTAAGTCATGGGGTATTTTAGTAGTGAAACATTCATTAATGTTTCAGCTGTCCGTGGGGTTCCCCGCAGACAGCTAAACATAAAAAGAATTGTCGGCATTGCCCGACAATTAAAAAAAAATGGCGTTGGGATAACCCCTAAAATCCATACCAGACCCTTATCCGAGCATGCAGCCCAGCAGGTCAGGAAAGGGGGGAGATGAGCTAGCACCCCCCCTCATGAACCATACCAGGCCACATGCCCTCAATGTGGGGGGGTGCTTTGGGGCAAGGGGGCTCCCCCCCAAAGCACCTTGTCCCCATGTTGTTGGGGACAAGAACCTCTTCCCCACAACCCTGGCCGCTGGTTGTGAGGGACTGTGGGAATCTGGAAGCCCCCTTTAACAAGATCCCACCCTCCCCCATTGTGAGGGGGACCCCGTCCCCTTGTGACATCATCCTGTGATGTGATTGGCCAAATAATTGCACCTGACCTGTGGTCAGGTGCATTGGTTTGACCAATCACAATACCCTGTCAGGGCGAAGTGCATTGTGGGGCGAACAGACGAAAGTCTGTATCGTTTGTGTGTTCAGCAAGCACAGGAACAGTCAATGTTCAAGTCGAATTTAGGTTTGACTCGAACATTCAGCCCAACACTATTCCTTATAGGTCTTGGATATGGGGTTAAATGGATCAGTTAGGGGGTTTTACAACTGCAAATGTTTAGCCCCGAAAACTGTCAGCAGCACTACTGTGTTCTATTTAGGAGCTTCTACTTTCTTTGCTTCCAAGAAGTATGATATTTGTTCTGCATATGAATTCCAAGAAGAAGGATCACATCTTTCTATGTGTCCTAAAACAACCATCTTTAGTATTCTAAATGGTCCTAATGTGTATATTCAACTGCAGTCTGATCACGGCAGAGCCTCAATCTTGTTACCACAAAATGGAGGGTTAGGTCATGCTGGAACTTAGATACTGGAAACTTTATTTAACCAGATGCTCTCCAACATTTATTTTTCAGTAGGCAGAAATAAGAACAGGGAGAAAAAGACAGGAAACAGTAAAGCATGAAAGAGAAAACCACAACACCATAACTCTGAGACCAGAGCTTCCTCTAATTGTGCACAACACTACCCTTCTGGAAAGAAAAACAGGTACAGGTATTGTTGGGGGGAGTTCTGGGATATCTTTGGGAGGTGATAAATATTAATGTAAAAATGTTACACTTACATATTACTTAACATATAACATATGTTTGAGGTTGGAAAGAAAGATGCTATGCCCAGATACTGTATATTCCCCACAGAGGTGACTGTCGGTGCTCTGACTGTGTGTCCTTCCAAACACAGTTGCAGCTTAAGAATGAAGATTTGAAGAGCCTGCTACTAGTCTTCCAGAATGATTATCTTTATTGTAACAAGTAAGATGTACAGATAAAATGGCTTACACATTTCGGTGATAAGACTTAATCATAGCCATAAAGATATAGCATATACTGTATAGTTGATGTTCGGTCCTCTTTAAATATTTGGTTTACAGTGGAATCAATTCCTGGAATTTGTTTCCCAACTGCATCCACGTCCATCTTGCTACCTCCTGCTTCAGGACATAACATAAAAGGTTCTCTTATACATATTTAAATCCTGCAGTCTTCAGACCAACCTGATGATGTTACTATGGGTCTTTCCTCAGATCTTTTTCATGGACTGAGTGGGGCAAATGGAATGACATCTGAGCTTTGTTCAGTCCAAGAATATG